TGCCCATAACAAATATGTGTTAAAAGATAAAAATTGAATATGAAATTTAAAAAATAAAAATTTAATATGAAATTTTGAAGGGAGTGTGAACGGCGAATGACAAGAATCCCGAAAGGAAAAAAAATGATAAGTGACTTAAATGCATGAATGTTTATAAAATTAATAAATTTTTTTTTTTAATTTCAAAAAATATTAAACATGTAAGGTACCACTAATTATCTTCGCAATGGGCAAATCACTCTCCAACATGGTCACTGTCACTCCAGATCCGAGCAAAACCAATAAATTTCCATAGAGATTTTAAGTCCGTGTGAAGTAGGGGCAATGGCTGTTTCAATTCCGTGTGAAGTAGGGGCAATGACTAGTCAGCACCTATCTTAAGGCAAGACAACCCTGACTTTGGCTTAAGAGAAAACAACATTTTTATATGTTACTTCCGTGGTAGGAAATTTTCAAATTTAAACTTGCTTTAAGGGTTGTTTCGTATGTAATTTCTTTAAAAATAAAAAGTTAAATGAAGAACACTAAAGAATAGTAAAGAGTAGACTTAAATGAAAAATAAACTCAAATGAAGCTACAATTCCAAACAAGTTAAAAGTTTTAAAGTTTAAGTTCAATCGTTGAACTCAATTTTTTGATTATCACACTGATTGTTTCCAAAATATTTAAATAAATTAAATTAATTCAGTTTGCAAATAGTTAAATGTATGTATTCAACACAATAAGAAAAACTTATCTGGCTAAAAGAAAATGTAAATATAAAACTTTTAATTTTCAGAAAATTTTAAAAATTAAGCACTAATTTCATTAAAAAAATGAACCCATTCATAATATCATTAAGTGATCAACCATCTAATTTTTTAAAATTTAAAGATTATTACGTTATAAGATCTATTAAATCTTAAATTTCAACTTCAAAAAAATTATAGATTCAAAATAAAATCAATCACTTAATTGAATAAAAAAAATTTAATAAAAAAAATCAATTAAACTTTTTTAATATACAATAAATTAATGAAATTAATCAATTTCTTTTATAGTCCGTCAAACCATAGAATTGATTGATTTCCTCTATCACCTCATATTAGTCCGATTTCAGTAGACGTGAAGCGGTGGCAATGGCCAATCAGCATTTGCTCTCGGTGGCAATGGCTAATCAGCACCTACTTTACATTGAGACCAGAGAACCTTGACTTTGACTAAAATAAAACCTTCTTTTTGTATATATTAGTTTCTTAGTAGGAACTAGGAAACTTCCATATCGTGTTGACTACGAGTTACGGTCCATGCATGGGTCCTCTTGGATTTGGACTTTCTTTACTTTCTCCATTCTTTTTTTTT